GCCACAGAGATTACCATGGTTTGCATGATTCTTATCTTTGTAGGCATAGATACATAAAGGCATTTGAATCTTTTCTGAGACTTTCATGGCTGCTCTACCAAGTGCTAGTCTTTGGCATATTTTTTTTTTACTTTTTGTCCCTTTACTGTTGATAGTTGATCCTAAAAGGTAGAAGTTACCTAGTAGGATTTTAATTTTGTTCATCTTATACTTTATAGTATAAAGTATTTTCTATTTTATTTTAACTTGCCATCAAGAAGCAGAATATAAATTTAATACTAAATCAAATAAAGACTATAAATCTGTTTTTTTCAGTAGTTTATATTAAGAAGATTTGTAATTACCATAAATTCAGCAGTTCATATAAGCAAATGTAAATCAAGCACTCAGTGAATGTGTATACAAATGAGCATGCAACTCTCACATGTCTACAATTTGGATACAAATACATGAATGTTAGTTCTTTGCAAACTGGAATGTGTATACAAATAGCCTTTCATGCAGTGAATACAAAATAATGTCTGGCTAACACTATGGTGAACTTGCAGCATTAATACACACATCCTGAGCTATGTTATATGAGACATCAATTACTCTGTTTCAGGCACTTGGCTCTAAACATTTGTTCTAGATTAATTTTAAGATAATCCAGAATTCTTGGCAATGGCAACATATCCTTTTGCACAACAGAATGTTCTTTTAATAAGGCTGGTGGATATAAATATACACCTTGCCCAAACACTGGAAAATAATTGATTTCTTGTTCTGCTTCTAGCCTTTTGACCTGTAGAAGAAAAATACCATGATTAAAATTCCTCTAAAACATACTTTCAAACAATTGTAAAGGAACTTAGAGAGGTATGGCTCATGAAAGAAGCACATGAAAAATTATCTGCTATCAGAAACAATAATAGTAGCTCAAAAGTTACATTAGGTATCAATAATATTTTCACAAAAGGTAACAAACAAAGTTGTTGTAAAATGTGGATTATAGAAATAATGATTTAAAACTTGTTCTCTTGTTACCTGAGTTTCAAGTTTGCCTTGACTTTTAAAGAAAAAAGGTAGTACAACCCCAATAGTTTGAAAGTCTGAAATTTTTAGCATTTGTTGTTAAAATCAATTAATTTTTGAAAGCTTGAGTGCATTTAATCTAAAATGACAAAATAATTAGGAATAAATATTTTAAGTTATCAGTGTTTTATTACTGGAATTATAAATGGAAATATTATCTTAAATATTGTGTGAAAAATTACGAAGAATTAGGTTAGAGATAGCTGTCCAGATGTTGATAAACTTCAGCTTCTATGAGTTACTGCCAGCACAGTTTAAAGTAAAGGGCTGTAAAGTTGCAATCCAGCACTACTGTGAATAGTTCAGTACAATTTTCCAAACAAAAAACATCCTATTATGATAGGAAACATCTATTCTAATACAGAAATTTCTTGCAAAAAAAATAATGAAGAGGCATATATATGTGTGTGCATGCACAGGCATGCTATTTCAGTTATATCTTTATTCTTTATTTCTCTAATTGCCTTTGGGTCCTGCATCATAAATTCCTTAAAGTAGCTATCTTTCATTCCACCAGCATTTTTCATTCAATCCTACTTTTAAAGCTTTCCCATCTGGTTTCTGCCACTATCATCCTCTGAATGGCCCTTACAACAAGTATTTTCAATGCCCCACTTCCCAATCCAG